TTAAATCACTGTCGTTTGAGCCACATAGTACAACGCTCTAGTGATATTCCCCTTCACTTATAAGTGAGAGGTCTTAGGTTCGATTCTTGCCAAAAACGAATTTGAACCACATTATTATTGGCCCATTATGAGACTTAGCTTTCTCCCCTACCCCTTTAGTGTAGATAACATCGTTGGATCAAAAAACAAAATCAATGTCGTTTGATAATGAAATGCCACCATTGCCGCTGCCACTAGATTACTGGTTCATTCAGACTAATTTATGGTAGATCTATCCCGAAGTCCACAGCTTACAATTCCTCGGGGAAAAGCTATAGTTCCCTATGAAGCCCCATTACAAATGAGAAACGGTATTGTTAAGGCAGTGCCGGTGGCCCCAATAAAAATATCCATAGGAGTTCGAACTTGGTTTGAAGTTTCAAACCTTAACTGACTTTCCACTAGACTAAACCCTAGGTTAGAAGAAATTGATTTGAGAAAGAACCGATGATCATTAACGATACTAGTTTTCTAACCATCAGATGTTATTTAAATGAGGTGGCATGTGGAGAAGAAAATTCAAGGAGACCCTAGCATTCAAACAGAGGATTCAAATCCATATTAACACTCTTACAAAGCTAAAGTTATATTACTGTAGTGTATACTGTAAGCCATTTGGTGTAGTGGCCATATAATTGGCTATAGAATCCACCTTTGTTGGAGGTTGTCTTCAAATCTCATACAAGAAAATTATTCTATAATAAAAAATTAAAAAGATATACATGTATATTTAATTTTTACAAGAAATGAGCTTTTGATCATTTTTTTTTCAAAGAGTAATGTTAGATAGACTAAATTTTTAAACCAAATTTGCAAATTGTGTGATTTATCACCGATAAGAAATAAGCACGTTAATCAACACATAATAATCTAATCTAACAAACACGTCAATTTGTTTATGAACTTTAATCCAAATAAGTGGTCTCTCTAACATGGGCTGAATCAAAATCTTCCTCCTCACGCTTTCTACTAGGTTTACATCTTCTACCTATAGGACCGTCTTTGCGTTTAAGTACCCTTTTTTCAAAATGCTAATTACAGCTCATGCATATATATGACTCTTATTTTCCTCATACGACCAACATAGATACTACAATAATCCAGTCCAACATATATATCATTATATATTCTCTTCCCACTTCAATCTCTATCACATGATTTTGTTTTACCCCCCATCACACACAACGCATGCATGATTTGTAACTACTTGATACTGTTGCCTAAAATATGATCACTAACAGTACATGCGCTGCCAACCAAAAACGCCCGGTTTTTGCTTGTAAAAACAAAATATGTGCCCTGTTATATGTCAAAATAATTGAATTGTTCACTAGAAAGGTCAATTACGTCAATATACTGGAGAAAAATCTAGGGAATATTGAGGCCAGAGTATGCAACATCCCTGTTCTCTTTAAAAGCCCTCAAATCAATCATAAGATCAAGAAAGACTGCAGGGGTGAAGAAGCATGAGTTCTAAGGAACGAAAGAAAGCAGCTCTGTATCAGAAATTGCTGCAACTTCGTGCTGCCACCAATTCCAGTGATGTAATTAACTTAAAATAAGCTATTACTTACTTTAGCCAGAATTAGTTACTATATATGTATATCCAAATTTTATTAGTGATATAAAGTATTCCAATATATTTCGTCCAAATTTTCATAATTTGTTGCTGCTTTCTGTGATTTGGCAGCTGAACAAAACTTCAATTATTGTTGATGCATCCAAATATATCAAGGAGTTGAAGTGCAAAGTGGACATGCTGAGCCAAGGCGTTGGAACTTCCCAGAATTCGATTGCCCGAAATCCATTACCCGCGGTGCATATTTGCTCAAATAAACTACTGAAGATTGTTTTATTTTCTTTGGGACACCTTATCATAACATAGTTCTTGTTCATTTGATTAATTGTCCTTCCTGTTATAATTTCCAGCAGGTAACAGTTCAAGCCCTGGAAAAGGGTTTCCAAATTCATGTGTTGTCGGAAAAGAAATGCCCGGGTTTGCTGGTCTCCATTCTCGAAGCCTTTGAGGAACTGGGCCTCGATGTGCTGGATGCTAGGGTTTCTTGTTCAGACACTTTCCAACTAGAAGCTGTTGGAGAAGTAAGAAATTATATTATCAAATTTAATTTCTCAAAAATTCTACAATGCAATAAAGTATGAGATGTATCAGTGTAGTGGACAACAGGATTTGCATGGCTGAATTTCAACCGTCATAACCTAGCTATCCAAAAAGCGGTGCATACACCAATGTACTATAGAAAGGAACCGTCTTCTTTGCCCTCCCACTTCCCATACATTCCCATCCCCTCTTATTTTGTGCGGTCATGGTTAAGTCACGTCAATATTTTATATTGATTTTTTATAGAGATAATAAGACAAGGCAATAGTAATATAAAATATTGACATAGCTTAATCGTGACTGCACAAATAGGAGGGGATTAGAGTGTATGAGAAGTGGGAGGGCAGAGAGGCCAGGTCCCTATAGAAAAACCCTTAGTCTCGTTCACATTAGCCCCATTGTACTTAACCCTTCACTTTGGCCCCTTTATTTTTTTTATTTTTTTTAATGTGTATATTATGCCAGCATACATATATGTATATATGGGTCATGCACTCTAACTTTGTACGTATATTATTGTACAAATTAACATCACGCGCGTGAGTTGTACAAACATGGTCTTAACTGCACCTTCTGTATTCCTTATTGCGACTACGCTAGCTCTGACGCAATTATTGTGGCATGACTTGACTTCATAATTTAGTATCTTAATATCTTAAATCAAATTTTGTATTTGCATGGTTTAAAATTCAATCAGCGAGTTAGAACTCAGTTTTTTAACTTTGTCGAAACGAGGGCACTCGAGGTATGTATATTGCTTGAGATCATCTAGAATTTATACAAATTCTTTTTACTTATGTTGCATTTCCATTGCACTGAACAGGGGGCTGATAGCATAGATGCTCAGGCGGTGGAACAAGCAGTCTTGCAAGCTATTCAAACTTGGAGCACAAGCAGTGAGCAAGATTACTGACCTATATTTCATACGTATTGTATCTTTTGCTGCACTTTCTACCCCTTTGTTTCTTTGTCCTATCCCCTAGCTATATTCCCCTCTTTCCGCTGGGGCCAATGAACTGTTCAAGTAATCATATAGTTACAAATGTTAGCTTAATTATATTAGATAATGTCGGATAATCAATGCGCTCAAATAGGCCTTTGTAAAAACAAAATATCATTTGTGAAACTTATTACATCATTAATCATGCACTACAGAAAAAAAAACTAGTAAGAATCATGCACTACAGAAAAAAAATAGTAAGTTTAGTGGTATTTCTTTATTTGTAAATGAGAAGTTTCAGGTTCAACTCATATATATAGATGGCAAGAACATTTTACATATGTGTTTAGTTCGACACCTAATTAGTGGCTAGCCCATTATGCGGCCTACTTCAATCCACCCTCTCCTTAGAGTGTAAAATTCTCCACCCTTAAAATAGTATGTTATTTATATCAGAAAAAATATCATGCAATACAAAAGGAAAAAAAACAATTTGAAAATGTTCAAATTCAAGCTGAAGCATATAGATTCTGGATCGAATTTTTCTAGGTACATATATGATAGTAGAAAGATCCAATAAGAAAGATGATTCTAACCGCCAAAATTTTCCCACATGTGTATGGCAAGTGGGTAATGGATCACTTGTTGGTAGCTCATGTTGCATTCAATGAGTGGAAAGAATCAAAGACAATTTGCTACATTACACATATAATTTACACACAAACACACACATATATATTTAGCGATCAAAGGTCTATTTTTTAGGTCTTCTCTTAAAGATTGTTATTACCAATATTATATTATAGAAATTTGTATTTATATGACCGTTAGATTAAATGGTAGACATTATTAGCGTTTTTTGGAAAAACTATATTCGTGTATTTTCTTCATTACAATTAGATGTCAGATTTTGGATTTATTAAATTTTTCAAAGACGATGTATTAATGATAAATCAAATATAAATGATTCGGATCGTTGAAAAAAAGTTACAGGATAGGCACCAAACGTTGTCCCTCAACGGAAGATGACGGTGTGTGTAAGTATATTCAATTACGATGGGGTGTTTTGTTTTCATGTCTGTAAGGCATGTTTGTCCTTATGCCCATATGATAAATTTGTGGGTGGATCGATGCAGCAATGTCATGCAGGTGAGAATAATAGGTTTAAAAACTTGGAGGATTTAGATACTAACTAATTAACAATATGGGAAAACTAATAAAATGTTAGGGCGTAATGATTGTAAATTTGGAAGACTGGCCTTGTACGTGGGGGAACATCTCAAAGGGAATATGAGAGTAGTTGTTAGATTCTGTAAACTTGTTTACTAATTCACTTTGGATGTAGTCTAAATATATGATCATAATGTGCATGCCCTTAAACACTAGAAAAAAAAAAAAAACAGTGGCTTTCTCGGCAAAATTCTGCATTTGTCCTTTAAGAAATACAGTGAAACTGAAGTTAAGGTGCAAAAACTATGTTGACGAAATCACAACCTTAGCCAGTAAGTGATTGGCAGGCACAAATAGATTTTTCTCCTCAAATTGTCAACTCGCGGGTATAACTTTAGATGACAAATATTTATGCTTTTCCGGCGATGTTTTTGCCGTGGAAGTTTTTTATTTTCTTGTCTAATATTGAATACGCCAGGATAGAAATTAAAATTATACGCCTTTGTTAATACAGAAAATGAAATGATCAAGAGAGAAGAACAGAGCTTCAAGAACTAGAGAGGGAAAGATTTAGAGAGAGAGAAAACTATCGAATCTTTATTATTTCTGTTTTGCTTAATCTCAAATCTATTACAATGATGTATTTATAGAGAGAACACATTCTCTAACAACTTAACTAACTAAGAATTATAATCCTGTGACAGATGGCACAATCCTAGCCAATGTCTATATCTATATCCTTACATGCCCCCTCAAACTCATGATTGGATGATCCAAGCATGAGGTTGAAACAATGACACCGAAAGAGAGGTGCCTCTTAGCGACCCTTTCACGCACAAAGTGCACATCAATCGCAATATGTTTCGTGCGTTGGTGTTGAACGGGATTAAAGGACAACGCTATGGCAGAAAGATTGTCACATAAGAGAACAGGAGTACTAGCAGACTTGACATGCATAAATTCCAGCACCTGTTGAATCCAATCCAGCTCGGTAGATGTAGTAGACATAGCTCTGTATTCTGCTTATGTGGAAGAACGAGAAACAGTGTTTTGTTTCTTGGAGGACCAAGAAATAGGATTGTTGCCTAAGAATATAACCAAACCAGTAGTGGACCTCCGATCATTGGGATCACCAGCCCAATCTGCATCACTGAATGCTTTCAGTGTCAAATCTCCCCGAGTATAGGCCATGCCACCAGATAATGTCCCCTTGAGATACCTCAAAATCCGCTTAACAGCTGTAAAATGTGACACCATTGGAGATTGCATAAATTGACAAACTTGATGAACTGAGAATGCAATATCTGGGCGAGTAAACGTGAGGTACTATAAGGCACCAACAATACTGCGATAAACTGTGGGATTGTTGTAAGGAGTACCATCATCCTTAAGTAACCTATTATTAGGTAAGCAATGAGTATCACAAGCTTTAGCATCCATCATCTCAACTTTCTGCAACAAATCCTGAATATATTTAGATTGGGAAAGAAATAACCCCTGAGCAGTTTTGGTAACCTGAATTCCCAGAAAATAATGAAGCGCACCCAAGTCCTTGATATCAAATTCAGCGGTTAAAGAATGAATCACCTGTTGAATAAGTGGAGAAGAACTACCAGTGATAATGATATCATCAACATAGAGTAAAAGCACCACAATATCACTACCAACTATCTTAACAAATAGAGAAGAATCTGAATAAGTGGATTGAAACCCAAGAGAGGGAAGAAAGCTTGTAAATCTGTCATTCCAGGCTCGAGGAGCCTGTTTCAACCCATACAGTGACTTGTGAAGTTTACAAACTAATTCAGGATGGGCAGCATCTCCAAAACCAGGGGGTTGGGCCATATACACTTCTTCATTTAAAAATCCATGTAAAAACGCATTCTTGACATCCAATTGTCGAACATTCCAATTAAAATGAGCTGCCAAAGCTAGAACTAACCTCACAGTGGTTGGTTTAACCACTGGACTAAAGGTTTCACCATAATCCAAGCCAGGCTCTTGACTAAACCCCTTTGCAACAAGTCGAGCTTTATGCCGAGCCACTGTTCTATCTGAATTCTTTTTGAGTTTGAAAACCCATTTGCAGCCAACAAGATTCTTATTAAGAGGCAAATGTACAAGACTCCAAGTGTGTTGATGATGCAATGCATCAATTTCTTCCTGCATAGCTTGAAACCAAACTGGTACTTTCATTGCAGATTTGTATGTTGCAGGTTCTACCAAAGTTAAATCAACATTGCTAGAATCAGCAACATGACTCAAAAACACTTTCTTCTTGATGATGCCATTCTTACTTCTGGTTTGCATAGGATGCAAATTAAGGGGAGCAATTGGTAACACCACTTGAAGTAAATCAGGACTAAAATCAGAGTCCACAGGGAGTTGAGGAGCACCACTTGTAGTAGCAGTAATCGACTGAGAAGAAACTGAGGGTGAAGATATTATCTCAGTAGATAAAGAGGCTGATGGTGGAGATAAGTGTGTTGGTGGAGATGGAACTAAGAGATGATCCAAAGTTGTGAATGGAAGAGATGATAATGACTGAGAGAAAGAAGATGGTACAGGGTTGTTCTTAGGTAATAAAGACAAATGAGGGTAGGGAAATCTAGATTCATCAAACACTACATGCCTAGAAATGTAGAACCTACCCTTTAGCATATCAAAGCAAATAAAACCTTTGTATTTGGATGCATACCCAAGGAAGACACACTCTGTGGTTTTAGCTTGTAACTTGGATTGAATATAAGGTCTCAATAAAGGAAAGCAAGAATATCCAAACACCTTAAGATGTGTTAAAAGAGGAGGAGTCCCAAAAAGCATTTCAAACGGTGAGCAATGGTTCAAAACTGGGGTAGGCATTCAATTTATAAGATAGACAGCAACTTGGCAAGCAAAAGTCCAGAAAGAAGAAGGTAATTTGGCAGATTGTAACAAGGTGACAGTAGTTTCAACCAAGGAAGAAAAAATCGATAATATCGACAATATTTCGCCGATATTATCGTTTTTTTGGAGGTCCGATTTTTTTTAACTATCCAAATAATTTTCGTCAAAATATCACGATATTATCGATAATATCGCGATATTTTTGAAATTATCGATAATATCACAATATAATATTAAAAAAAACTTAAAAATGTTGAGAAATCTCAACACATACCACACTTGATCAAAGCCCAAAGGCCAACCAAGACATGCTTAAATCAGCTTGGGAATGTGCCTTTTAAAGGCCTTCTTGCTTGCTCACTGCCCTCGCATGGGCGATGTGGGACTCGACCAAGGAAGAAAATAGGAATTTCGGCCGAAAATCCACACCCACTTTAAACGGCCATAACTTTGTCAAAACTCAACAAAATCAAGCAAGACAAAAAATGAAAGTTGTAGCCCTCGAAGAGACGAAGATAATGGTACCTCACACGACATCTGAATTGTCGTGGTTTGGCCGAAAAATGCCTCGAAAGTCACCGAGGTCGCCGGAAACTGGGTAAGATTCAAATGAGTATAACTTTTTCAATACTCAACGAAATTGAGTGAAACAAAAAGGAAAGTTATACTACTCGACGAGACGAAGAGATTGATACCTTGCACGCCAGCCAACTTGCCGTGGTTTGGCCGGAAAACCAGTGTCAAATTCGGTACATTATTCTTTATCATTTTATTCACTTCCTTTTTTTTTTTTTAATATCCTAAATAAAACCTCCCAATATTGTACTAATTAATTATATATAAATGATTATGGTGTGTTTAAACTTCTTTCATTAATTACTACATATTTTCTACACTCACAATGTTTGCCAGCTCGCTATATAATCAACTTAAATCAGTTAAATCCATCATGCAATGCATTTCCTTCCAATTTTTTGTGATAAACTAATAGATAATTGACTAAATAAACATCCTGCAAAGTTTCATTAAAAATTTCCAAGTTTTTCTTACAATTTCCGTGGTTTCCATGTAATTTTTATCGATATCGATATTATCCCGATATTTCCATCGATATTTCCGTGTTTTCGGACTACTGATATTTCCGATATTACCGATATTTTCTTCCTTGGTTTCAACAATATGTCTATGTTTTCTCTCAGCCAAGCCATTTTGTTCTGGAGTATGTGGACAAGACTTATGGTGAAGTATCCCTTTACTGTGAAGAAAGTTGTTAAGTTTATTGCTGCTATATTCCCCACCACCATCAGTTTGTAAAATCTTAATAGAAGCAGAAAATTAAGTGTGTACAAAGGAGTAGAAGACAACAAAAGTCTCAAAGAAGTCTGATTTATTAACAAGAGGGAACAACCAACAATACCTAGTGCACTCATCAATAAGAGTCACATAGTACTTGTATCCATCAATGGAATTACACGGAGAATGACCTCAAAGGTCACTGTGTAGGATTTCAAATGGAATTACAGATTTGTGTTCACTAGACTGAAAAGGCAATTTAGTGAACTTGCCCTCTAAACAACTATGACAGAGCATAGGAGCAGAATCTTTGGTACACAATATGTGAGACCTACTAAGCATAAGAGAAGCAACATTATTTGACGGGTGTCCTAACCTATTGTGCCAGAGATTAGAGCTAACAAGCTGTCCAAGCAATGCAAAGTCTTTAGAATTGCCGTGAGAAGGAAGAGAATGATGATTGACAAGAGAAAGAATAAGATATAGTCCATTACTACATTGTCCTTTGTATAATATCCTCCATGTGGCTTTGTCCTGGATCCAGAAACAAAAAGCATCAAACACTAACCAACAGTTGTTATAAAGACAAATGCGATGAACTGATAACAAATTATGAGATAGTTTAGGCACATAGAGAATTGAGTTCAATTTGAGGGGCTGCACAGGTGTTTGATTAATAGAACTACCAATATGAGATATTTCCAAACCTTGACCATTAGCTGTTTGCACTGTCTCATTAGAAGGATAAGGAGAGGCCAATGACAAATTACTGAGATCTGTGGTCATATGATTTGTGGCCCCCGAGTCAGTGAGCCAAATTTGTGGTTGATGATGAGGTGTGGTAGCTGAAGATGACTAAGAAGAGACTATATGCAGAGCTTGAAGATTGGACTGAGGAGAGAAAGTAGGTGCGAAAGGAGCATAAGCATTGCTTGACATATGAGGATAGTGTGGACCACCAAAATTGGGACCTTTGTCATTGAAGAAACAATACCAGGTAGTATGATTCATCTTACCACAGATTTGACAGCCCTGTCGTTCCAACGATTTTGAATGACAAAACGGAGCAATGTGACCAAGTTGATTACACAATTGGCAAGGAACTTGTTGTGTAGAGGAATGGCCAAGATACTGTGACGGAGAAGGTCTAAGAACCCTAGAGAATACAGGTGGATGATGAGATCCATGAGCTGGAAACTGCTGTCTTGGATTAGGATGAAGATACCTATATCCCTGATTAGATCTTCGTTTACCCTTCTTATTATTGTAGAAAGAGCGATATCCACCAGAGGAACCAGAATTATGTCCTGAAGAACCAGGAGGAAGACCCCCATATTGATGTTGAGATGCAGAGAATTTAGGACACTAGTACAAAAACATGTTTGCGCGACGGAAACTTGCGCGACGCAGAAAATTTCGTCGCGCAAAGTATGTTTGCGCGACGAAATGCACAAGACGTTGCGCAAGTAGTCTTTGCACGACGGCACTTTGCGCGACGAAGGAGTGCGTCGCGCAAAACAGCTTTGCGCGACGTAGTTGTACCTTCGTCGCGCAAAATAGCTTTGCGCGACTCACTCATTCGTCGCGCAAAGTGCCGTCGTGCAAAGACTACTTGCGCAACGTCTTGTGCGTCGCGCAAGAGTTTGGCGCCAAACCACGTTTATTTACCGCTTTTTCCAACTTGCGCGACGCCTGGCTTCGTCGCGCAAAGTCAACACGAAAATCTGCTTTTTATCTTTCTTTCCAGTGTTCTAATACAATTCATAAACTCCATAGCAGCCTTCCCCTGTTCCTCACCTGCAAACCTTCATAGTCGCCTGATCACAATTTCCTTGGAATTATCTTATTCAGTTTTGTAAGGTAGAGGTCCTATCTAGCTGTCCTTATTCAGTTTTGTGTTCGATTGTAATAGTTTTACAGTTTTGTGGAGGCTAGATGTTTCCCCTGTCATTAATATTTTTACAGTTCTTTGTTTGTATGTGATGTACTGATATGTGCTTTTGTATTTTGCTTCATTCAGGCTGAATTCACCCCAGAAGATCTTGATTCCCGAAAACCTCTATTGAACATTGAAGTATGTTTAACCATTCTTTTGTTCATTTGCATTGTTCTCATGTGTTTGAAAATTGGATTTGCTGAATCTCCACCTGTCCATATAATCTTTTCATGTGTGTTTATTACTAAATGTTTTTGGGAGTTGTGACCAAGAAACTATTGTACCAACTACCAGATGAAAGTTTAGATTGTGCTTTGATTATACTTTGTTTATATCATATTTAGGGCCTCGTATATTTGGGCCTTGGGCCTTGTATTTGGGCCTCACACTAAAGCCCATACTTTGTAAAAGAGGAGGAGCCCCTTATTCTATAAAAGGGGACTCCTACCCTCATTCTGGGGGAGGCCTCACTCTCATCCTCAGAGGTCAATTCCTAGGCCTGAGATCCCCTCTCTCACCCTTAGAAGCTCTCACCCTCTCCCTCTTTATTCTCTCAAATAAATACAATCAGTGTGGACGTAGCCCAAACCTTGGGGTGAACCACGATAAAATCCTTGTGTTCTTTGTGTTCTTCGTGTTCTTGAGCGTTTGTGCAGATTCACGGTCGGATTTACGTTGTACCAAGACCATCCGGTTTTGTGCATCAACATTTGGCGCCGTCTGTGGGAAACGACACGAAAAGTTACATCGGTTCTCTTTCAATCTTTCATCACACCACCGTGAAACCTTCACAATCTTCCCCGTGTATCTGCAAAAAGAACCCAGAAAAAACCCATCAAACCATCATCTCATTTTCATCAGATCTCTGCGTCTCTCTGTGAGTGCACCGACACTCTCCCGTTTTTCCCAACAAAAATCACAACTCTCCATCAGATCATTCTCTCTATCTCTCTGAGATACAAAAAAAAAAAAGAAAAAAAAAAGAAAAGCCAATCCCATCTCTTCATCTCTCTGCTGCACGGTCTCAGCTTCTCCCTCCGTCTCTCTTAGACGTTCCCTCCACCTTCGAGCCTGCTGACTCGTTAACCCGGCCCAACTCGCCCGATGATCCGGATCTGACACCCTCTCCAGCTTCAACACCCATCACGCCTCAGCAGATCCAAACCAAAAGATTCAGGCTTCAGCAGCTGCGAGCCCAGACATATACCCAGGCCCGCACCCACCTCCCGGAGCCCATTAACAAGGACCATCATCATCTCCGTCCTCTCTCGGATTCGCCACCACGAACCCCACACATGTGCTCCTCGTCATCTTCTCCACACCGTCTCCTCTCCAAGATCTGCGCTTCAGCTCTCCGCCGCAAACACCAGCCGCCATGATGCTCCAGTACCAGCTTTGAGCGCAGAAATTGTAGTAGACGGAGATGATCAGCAAGCACAAGCCAAAATCCGAAACCAGATTGCAGCAATGACGATCCGTGACACATGCGAGGAATCTTTTGTCCTCGAAAATAACGACGAGCAAAACAGCGGAGGGAGAGTGACGC